AATGATCCAGCCAGACTTGCTATGTGACTGTGCTTTTGTTTTTCTTCCTATACTTTTCATTTTGGTTGGATTGTACATCATTGTAGAATTGAACTTAAAAATGACTAATGCATGGCTTCCCTGGCGGCACAGTGGTTAAGAATCCGCCTGCCAATGCAGGGGACATGGGTTCGAACCCTGGTCCGGGAAGATCCCACATGCCGCGGAGCAATTAAACCCGTGTGCTCCAACTACTGAGCCTGCGCTCTAGAGCCCACGAGGCACAACTACTGAGGCCCGTGCGCCCTAGAGCCCGTGCCCCACAACGAGAAGCCACCGCAATGAAAAGCCTGTGCACAGAAACAAAGACCCAACACAGCCAAAAAAAAAAAAAAAAAGTTAATTAACTAATTAAAAAAAAAAGACTAATGCAAAAGGAATCTATACAAAGAAAAAGAAGAGCAAAAAGAAATTCTTCATTGGGGTTAGGTGATTTTGGGTTTTTCTTCTTTGCGGTGTTTTCTCTTTAATACATATTAATTTGAAATAAAAGATGCATATATTAGAGAAAAAAATCCCACAGCACAGTAAACAGTCCTAAATGTTAACAGAGGGTATGAGTGGTTTTTTTCCATTTCTCTATTTAAAATTTTTTCTTGTATTATTCTTACAAGGTAAAGTAAACATAATTAAGAGAGAAAAAAAAACTATTTTGAATTAAAACAGCTCTACTTCTGATTATTTAAAGGTTTTCCTGAGAATATTGGATTCTGCTTGTCAGGTCTGCCATTGAAAATACTTCCCAAGCAAGGTTTCTAAATTAGACTGAGAAGTCCTTAGAGAACATCATCAATTCTAGCAAAATATCTAACAGCCTGCTTCCTGTTTGGTAGATGGACTCCCATCAACATCTTATTTTCCAAAAGATGTCAGCTCACTTTTTACACTTTTTGAAAACAGGAAGGACAGAGGGGAGGGAGCTGCTGACTATTTTCTCATGTTTCAGGTTTGTTTTTTTGGGCCAGAGGTAGGAGTTCCAATTCTTGCTTCCACTCCTACTAATTGGTGAATTTTAAGCTGTTCCACCTTTTGGGCTAATTTATTCTGTAAAAACAACAGAACAAAGCAGAAGGATAACAGTATTTGCCTCACTGGTGGTAGGGAGGAGGAAAGACAAAGTGTGGAGAGCAGGACTGCCCCACCTGTCTCGTAGTAGGCGCTTAATACACGGTCCCTCTGACTGGGACCATCATCCTTCCAACTGTACAAAACTCTGCTTGATCTTGAAAGTCAGGACACACTTGGGTTGCCCACAGTCACATACCCACAGATGGTCACTACTAGGAGGTGCTACTTAATCTAGTCAAGTAACAAGGTGTGTTAACCTGAGCCAGGTGAGCGGCTCAACTGGGTGCACAGGCAAAGAAACCAGGTGTGACACCTAGATCCATGGTGTCTCCACTTCACCAGAAGCCATGTCCTCCAGTGGCTTCCATAGTTTGGCTTCCCAAGAGCCACCACTCACCCTGTGGCAGAGCTTTGTACACCTTATTGAGGGCTCAGCCGTTTTACCAATAAGGAAACCTGAGAGCAACAGGAGCTAATTTAAATAAAAGATGGATATGCCATTTTAAAAGGCCCCACCTTAATGCTGGAACGGCCAGGTATGGTGACCGTGGTTACCTCCAGAGGCCTCTCTTCGCTCCTTCGAGTTCTCAAGTTGTATGTGGCTCTGTTACTTCTAGAACGTCAACCGAGTGTAATTCAAAGGACAAAGGCCCCGCGGGTGAGAAGCGCCGTCCACGGGAAGACACGGCACTTGTCGAGCGCGTTCAAGGCGGCGCACAGGTGCTCGGCGGCGCCCCCGGCAGGTGCGGACAGGTGCTCGGCCCCGGCGCGCCCGCATCCCACGGCCGTGAACCCGGCCTCCCCGCCCGGAGGCCGCCATCTTGGGGCCGCACTCGCCGGGACCACCCCCACCCCCGCCGCGCCCGGCGTGACCTCCGACCCCGGTTCGCCCCGGACCTCCCCGCGCCCCAGCTGTCCGCCCCTCCCGATGCCCGGTCCTACCTGAGTCCAGCTTGTCGCCAGAACGCCACCATGATGTCGCGAGAGGGGGCGCGTCGGGCCGAATCGCGAGGACCCGTCAAGGTCGGCTCAGCGTGCGGACCGGCTGCCGGAAGGTCAGGCCTGAGAAGCGGAAGAGGCGGAGCTCCGGACCTGCCAATCCCACCGCCTCTTGCCCCGCCCCGCCCTCCCGA